TGGACCAGGTCCTGGGCTGCTCTGCCTCTGGGACCGGTTCTAGGTCGGAGTCCTCCACTCTGGCCGGGGTCTCTGGTCGCCCGCGTCCCTCGTGGGAGGCCCGCGGGGAGTCCGGATCGCTGGAAGACTCGGTCCTCCCAAAGGATCCTTCGAAGTCACCCTGGAGACATTGAAGTCACTGCTGGAGATCTTCACCTCTGTCAGAGAAGATCACTCCTAGGCCCGGATAGAAAGGAAGAGGCCAAGGCCCAAGTTCTTCTGAGAAGACAGGAAGCAGAGGAGGTTCGGTTTCTGGCGCCACCGGGGCGGACTCCCAGGCCTGCTTAACAGGCAGGGACCAGAAAGTTGGCTCCATCGCTCTTGCAGCTCTTGCACCTGGAGGTCAGCAGCCTGTGCACAGTGCGGGCTGCAGATTCTTCTGCAGGCTCAGGACCTGGGTATTTGTACTCTTCCGGGGGAGGGGGGAAGGAGTTGGGGGCGGAAAATTTGGTGAACTTGTGCGGGTTAAAACGTCTATTGCCTAGATCTTCAAGCACTTGGTCATACTCGAGCACTTGGTCGCGTTAGAGCACTGGTCGGTGTTTTGAGCACTTGACCTGCATCGAGAACTTGGACGTGTTTCAGCACTGGACGCTGCTCCTGCACACGGTCGTGGTCGTGTTCGAGCACTTGACCGTCATCCAGCCCTTGAACTCCATGGGTCATGTTGGAGCACTCTGCCATGTTTCCAGCACTTGACCTTCATCCATCACTTGGTCGCGTTGTAGCACTAACTGTGTTTTGAGACCTTGGTCCTGATGGAACACTTGGTCGTTTTCATGTTGGAGCACTGGACCGTCATCGGGCATTTGAACCTGTTCAAGCACTTGGTGGTGTTCCAGCACTTGGTCCCGTGTCAGCACTGGACAGTGTTTGAGCACTTGACCGTCATCCGCACATGATCGGTATGGAGCACTTGGTCGCCTTAGAGCCCTGGACGGTGTTCCAGCACTTAACCGTCATGGAGTACTTGGTCGTGTTCGAGTACCGGACCGCGCTCGAGCCCTGGGCGGTGTTTTACCCGAAAAACACTGACAAAACGAAACGGATGCCAAGGCTACGGAGATTCGGTCGTCCATACATCAAATTCGTCCTCTTTCAGGAAGCTGGTATCCGCTGTCTTGGGACACTTCGTCGGTGGAAAACGTGCATCGGTACGAAAGTCATAACGACAGAAATCCGACGAACTTCCAGCGTTAGAAACGATCGCGAACGAAACCAATAGGACCCGAAAACGAATGGAAACCGCGGCATCATCACCGCACCTGTGAGTCGAAATGCTGCACTTGAGCCTTAGACCGTCATGGAGCACTTGGTTGTGTTTGAGTGGACCGCGCTCCAGCCCTGGGCCTTGTTGTACCCGAAAACCCTCGAAAAAAGAAAAGGAAAGCGATGGATACGGAGATTCGGTTGTCCATATACCGAATTCGTCCTCTTTCAGAAAGCCAGAGTCGGATATCTTGGGACACTTGTCCGGAGAAAAAGTGCCTTGGCCGATGGCAGTCGGCATTGAATCCGCTAACGGGGGAAAAAAAAAATCGAAGTTTCAGCCATTAGAAACTTAGAGGAAAAAGAACGAAAACCGCATCGTCTAACTGCGTCCGGTGCACACGCGCACCATGGCGCCAACGTTTCCCTCACGAGAAACGGGTTCGTGTTGAATGTGGCCACATCCTGCCTGGCTGAGCCGAAATCCGCCTGCAAAGCAAAAGAACCTAGCCACAAAATCACAGACTCGGTTTGAGATCGCGGTCGGATTGCAGCCCGGCCTGCTGACAGTCGAACCAATTTTGCCTGCCTGGACGAATCGAGGGCACCCCACCAACCCTGGCGTCGTGAAGGCTGGTGGACTGACCTCCGTGGTCCCCACACCATCTTCTCCACCAACCTAGAAACAGCGCCCCCTGAGTGTCACCAAGTAGCTTGAAAACTGGCGCGCACAGCCCATTAAATTAATTACCTTTGGAATCATTTATTAAGCAAGCAAGAATTGACACTGACCATATGAGGCACGTGGATGTAGGAATTTATTTTGGAAGCAGCCGGCTGCCCAGAAGACTTCCGGCTGCCAGGAAGGAAGAGGTTTAGGGAAGCATTCTCTTAGCACAGAGCGCACTCTAAAATGCTGAAAGGCACCTGCCACTCCCTAAGGCTCCCTGCTGCCTTGTACAGGTAAGCAGCAGCCACGTGGCACGCAGCAGCGGAACACGCAACGAATGCGCCGCCAGAGGGCGCACAAAACCCGCGGTCCTCTGCTCCTATCTCTGGTGGTCCGCAGCTCCCACTCCCCAGGGTTTCTCCTCTCCGTGGTCTCGGTGTCCCGCGATTCGTGGCCAGGGTGGGGCGCTCTGGACCAGGGCCGGGGCTGCTCTGCCTCTGGGAACGGATCTAGGTCGGAGTCCTCCACTCTTGGCGGGGTCGATGGTTGCTCGCGTCCCTAGTGGAAGGCCCGCGGGTTTCCGGCTCGCTGGAAGAGTCGGTCCTCCCAAAGCACTTCTTCGAAATCACCCTGGAGACATCGGAGCGGTTGCTCGAGAAGGTCACCTCTGTGGGAGCGGATCCCTCCTAGGACCGGATAGAAAGGAAGAGGCCAAGGCCCACGTTCTTCCGTTCTTCCGAGAAGACGGGAAGCAGAGGTTCGGTCTCTGGCGCCACCGGGGCGGAATCCCAGGCCTGCTTCACGTGCACGGACCAGAAAGTCGGCTCCATCGTTCCAGCAGCCCTTGCACCGGGAGGTCAGCAGCCTGTGCACAGTGCAGGCTGCAGATTCTTCTGCAGGCTCAGGCCCTGGGTATTTGTAGTCTTCCAGGGGGGCGGGGACGGATGAATTGGTAAACTTGTCCATCTTAAAACGTCTATTGCCTGGATCTTCAAGCACTTGGTCGTATTCGAGCACTTGGTCCTGTTCGTTTTCGAGCATTTGACCGGCTTGGAGCCCTAGGTCCGGGTAGAGCACTGGACGGTGTTTTGAGCACTTGACCTGCATCGAGGACTTGGACGCGTTTCAGCAATGGACTATGTTCATGCACTTGGTGAGGTTCGTGTTCGTGCACTTGACCGTCCTCCAGCACTTGACATTCCTGGGTCCTGTTGGAGCACTGGACGGTGTTTCGACACCATGGTCCTGATCGAACACTTGGTCGTTTTCATGTTGGCGCACTGGACCGTCATCGGGCATTTGAACCTGTTCCAGCACGTGGTGGTGTTCCAGCACTTGGTCCTGTGTCAGCACTGGACAGTGTTTGAGCACTTGACCGCTGTCCACACATGAACGGTCGAGCACTAGGTCGCGTTAGAGCGCTGGACGGTGTTCCAGCCCTTAACCTTCATCAAGCACTTGGTCGTGTTGGAGCACTGGACCGCGCTCGAGCCCTAGACCGTGCTCTACCCGAAAACGGTTGACAAAACGAAAGGAAAGCAGAGGCTAGGGAGATTCGGTTGTCCATACACCGAATTCGTCCTCTTACAGGAGGAGGCCGCGGTCCTTTGTCTTGGGACACTTGTCCGGAGAAAACGTGCCTTGGCCGAAGGCAGTCAGCACTGAATCCGTGAACTTTAAAAAAATAAAAATAAAAATAAAAAGTTTCAGCGATTAGAAAACCCGGCGAACGGAGCATAGAGGAAAAAGAACAGAAACCGGAGCGTCAAACTGCGTCTGGTGCAACCGCGCACCAGGGCGCCAAACGTTTCCTCCAACGTTTCCCTAACACGAAACGCATTCGTGGTTAGTGTGGAATGTGGCCAGGTCCTGCGGGGCAGAGCAGGATTCCGTCTGCAACTCGAAAGGACCGAGGCGGAAAATCACGGACACCGTTTGAGATCGCGGTCGGATTGCAGCCCGGCCTGCTGACCGTCGATCGATCCGAAGTCGGCTGCCTGGACGAATCGAGAGCACCCCACCCACCCTGTCCTCGTGAATGCTGGTGGGCTAACCTCGGTGGTCCCCACACCAGCTTCTCCACCCATTAAATTACCTTCCGAATCATTTATTAAGCAAGCAAGAATTGACACTGACCATCTGAGGCACGTGGATGTAGGAATTTATTTTCGAAGCAGCCGGCTGCCCAGAAGACTTCCGGCAGCGAGGAAGGGAGAGGTTTTGACGGGCAATCTCTTGGCACAGAGCGCACTCTAAAACGCTGACAGGCGCCTGCAGCTCCCTAAGGCTCCCTGCTGCCATGTAGGCGTATGCAGCAGCCACGTGGCATGCAGCAGCGGAACACGCTAAGAATGCGCTGCCCGATGGCGGTCCAAACCCGCGGTCCTCGGTTCCGGTCTCCGGTGGTAGGAGGCTCACACTCCCCAGGGCTTCTCCTCTCCGTGGTCTCGGTGTCCCGCGATTCGCGGCCTCGGTGGGGCGTTCTGGACCAGGGCCGGGGCTGCTCTGCCTCTGGGACCGGTTCTAGGTCGGAGTCCTCCACGCTTGCCGGGGTCGCAGGTCGCCCTCGTCCCTCGTGGAAGGCCCGCGGGGAGTCCGGCTCGCTGGAAGACTCGGTCCTCCCGTCGGATCCCGACAAGTCACCCTGGAGACATGGAAGCGGTTGCTCGAGATCGTCACCTCTGTCGGAGCGGATCCCTCCTA